GACTAAGTCACGGGAACCTTAAAATAAAGAAAAATAGGAAGAAAAATGAAAAATAAATAAATAAATATATAATGGTATAACTATATTTATAAATATAAATGTATATCCTAAATACTTAAAATTAGTAATACAAATAAGTTCAGACAACTAACTTATAGAGCATATTTTATTAGTGCAACAATGACATACTTTTTATAATTTTTAAAATATGATACATTAAATTTGATATTTTAAAATAATTCATGTACATTTTCACTTTTAATGCTCTCATCAAGTTTTCTTATGAGCTACTACATGTATATATTCCTTTTTATTGCCTAAGTGCGTGAGTATATATAATTATGGAAAGAAGATTTCAAGAGAAAAAAAAATTTAGAAGTAACAACTTAAATTGAAATCAAAATCCTTAAGTTCTTTCTTAAAAAAACAAAGTTTGAAATGTAAAAAATAACAATAAAGACACAAAAAAGAGAGTAAAAGGTAAATATATTCAATTTCAACACATATTTTAACATATTGACATATAATAATTAGTAAGAATAATAGCCAAAACCACTCAATTTTTTCCTTGCCACCATCCTTGTATTGCCTATATATTTTTGAAGATACCAAACATTGTCCTGCCCTTCATATATGGAACTTGCAAAAATCTCATCAACAATGCCTCTGACATCAAACAGAGTAGAAAATTTTCAATAGCCTGTACAGAAAGATATTGCCCATCAATTTTTACAAAACAATGAAATTGAATGAGTTTGATATCATGCATTAATTTTAAAAGCAATAATTTAAATGTTCAATAATGAAAACACAGTAGACATAGAAATGATGCATGTTAGTTAAATATAATGATAAAACAATAGATAAAAAATGTGCCTACTATTGCTTCTGTTAAAAAAGATCATGTCAAATTCCAATAGTAGCATCTAAAGATTCTGCATCATTTGTGGCTGCATCCATGAGCTCAGCTTTTGTTGCTTCTTCAAGTTTATCACTCTTCTTAGCTACAAAAAGTATACA